AAGATCTTTAGAATAATTTGCTCTCATATTTTCATATCCAGAATATTTCGATTTTTTTTTTGTCAAAACATAATGTTTAGACCATACCAAGTTAGTTTAGAGCATCCTCAATGAGTTTCTATTATGGGGTTCTAAGTTTGACCAAAAATTTTTAATAATCATTTAATGAGTATGTATTTCAAATAGTAGAAAAACCCACTCATTGGGTTTTTGATGAAAATACTTTTAGATGAGTTTCTACTGTAACGACCGCGAACCAAGTTCTGTGAATTTTGGCCGGGTCGGATTGTTTCATCTACATTGCTTGAGATACTCATTCACTAAAATATTGTAATAAATTATAATGTATTGATTATTTATGTATTTAATATAATATATATTTAGTGTTTATAGTAAATAATTATCTAAGTTAGAAAACTAAGCATTTGCATCAAATTGTTGTACAAATACAATGTTATAGGCAAAAAAAGAAAAGACTGTTACAACATAAGAAGACAACTTTGTTGACATAAATCTTTAACTTGTATTTATTTATCTATATTAACTACGGTTTCCTAAAAAACGATTATAAAAATCTATTGATTAGACATGTTATAGTATATTTTGCTTCTATAGAGACATCTGCATATCCTCAACAGAAATATTGGATGCATCTTTCTGTTTATTTCATTAGAATCTTGAATCATAAGAGAGAATAATTGATGCTTGATTGTATTTGTATCTCACTTTATTTGTCGATTTGCTATGATATTTATCTTTCACATTGATTCATTGGTAAAATGATTATTTTCTCTAGATTTACAATTTATGGTGGAGTAAGGTTTTATTTCAAAAATCTTGGTTATGAGAGTTATTTTGCCCAACACAACTTTTTTTAATTGTATTAGGAAGTGATTGGTAAATTAACTTTGAAAACTATGAAAACATTTAATAAAACGTTATGGATCTTAAAACTTTTTTTTTTAAATATCACATATCATCTTTTTTTTTTCATTTTATGCATTTTCATTAAAACTTATCTTCTGTGGTTTTTGTTTTAAAATCAGAGTTAACTATATAAAAGCCAAAGTTTTAAGTTTTAAACGTGTTTTGTATAGTATACTGTTTAATTTGGTAAATAAAATATATATTTTATGTACATATATTTACATAAGAATTACATAAATCTGCACAACACAGTTAAATGTAATTTGTTGGAATTAATTTACATAAGAATTGCCTATTAAATTATTAGAACTAATTGATGAAGTTATTAAAAGACATTTAATTTTCATTTTTTAATAAATAAATTAAAAATCCAAATGTCAAAAAATTAGATGACACATGACAGGTTCTCATGACTTTGGTTTTGAGGAAACTTTAGAATAGTTTTAAATTTTAAACGTTTTTTGTATAGTATATTGTTTAATTTGGTAAATGAA